GCCTGGTCCAGACCTGGTTTAGTCTCGGTTCAGTCCTGGTTTAAGTCAGGTCTGTTAAACTTCATAACCCCACAGACTTGACCTTTCTGACTCTGTGTGGTCCTGGTCCAAGACCAGACTGGACCTGGACCTGGCTGAGTTTCTGCACACACAGGTTCTGGAGCGTTACATAAGTTACATCAAGTCTGAACAAACCACAGACCAGATTCTGAGGTCCAAGTCTGAACCAGGTCTGGACCAGGTCTGGACCCGGTCTGAACCAGGTCTGGACCAGGTCTGAACCAGGTCTGAACCAGGTCTGGACCCGGTCTGAACCAGGTCTGGACCAGGTCTGGACCGGTCTGAACCAGGTCTGGACCAGGTCTGGACCAGGTCTGGACCCGGTCTGAACCAGGTCTGGACCAGGTCTGAACCAGGTCTGGACCAGGTCTGGACCGGTCTGAACCAGGTCTGGACCAGGTCTGGACCAGGTCCTCACAGAGTCCAGACTCAGAGCTGCTCGTCACAAACATCAGGTTTTATGAATCTTAAACTCTGTGTGTTTGGGCCCAGAGCCAAATCTAAGTCACAGTTTAAATAACGAAACACGAAACCCAAGCTGCACCGATCACTTACCACATGTGTGCACAACCCCGAGGTATGAACCACACTGTACATGTACAGTCTGACCCGAGGTATGAACCACACTGTACATGTACAGTCTGACCCGAGGTATGAACCACACTGTACATGTACAGTCTGACCCGAGGTATGAACCGCACTGTACATGTACAGTCTGACCCTGACCCGAGGTATGAACCACACTGTACATGTACAGTCTGACCTGAGGTATGAACCGCACTGTACATGTACAGTCTGACCCGAGGTATGAACCGCACTGTACATGTACAGTCTGACCTGAGGTATGAACCACACTGTACATGTACAGTCTGACCCTGACCCGAGGTATGAACCGCACTGTACATGTACAGTCTGACCTGAGGTATGAACCGCACTGTACATGTACAGTCTGACCCGGGGTATGAACCGCACTGTACATGTACAGTCTGACCCGAGGTATGAACCGCACTGTACATGTACAGTCTGACCCGAGGTATGAACCACACTGTACATGTACAGTATGACCCGGGGTATGAACGTCCTGTGATTAAAACTCTTAACTCTCCGTGTTATTATTTACAGAGCATCAGACTCGTACTGTGAGAGCGTGTGGGCGGAGCCTCGTACAGACTCGTACTGTGAGAGCGTGTGGGCGGAGCCTCGTACAGACTCGTACTGTGGGAGCGTGTGGGCGGAGCCTCGTACAGACTCGTACGGTGGGGGCGGAGCCTTGTACATGTCAGAGTTCTTCGTGTTTGTTTGAGGAACAGTGGAACTTGGGAGAAGCTCAGACACTGAACAAACTTTTACTCTGAAATAAAACAAAATAAAAAAGTGACGTCAGGTTTAATTTTGAAAGTGACGTTTGAACCAAAGAAAAATCCACCGAAGAACCAGAAAAAAACACAAATGGAACATTTTATTTTGGTGAAATGCAGCAGCAGCGTCGTCGTCTTCGTCTTCTGTTCTTCTTCTTTCCCAACCTGGACCGGACCTAAACCAGGACTAACCTGGTACAGACCTGACTTGGTCTGGTCCGGTCTGGTCCCGGTCTGGCCCCAGTCTGGTCCTGGTCTGGTCCCGGTCTGGCCCCAGTTTGGTCCCGGGCTGGTCCCGGGCTGGTCCCGGTCTGGCCCCGGTCTGGTCCCTGTCTCTCGGGGGACCGCAGTTTCCAGCCTCCTTTAGGACTGTGTTTATATTTAGTCTTGATGGAGCCCGGTCTTGGCCCAGGATCAGGACTTGGATCAGGACCTGGATCAGGACCAGATCTGACTCAGGACTTGTCTGGAGAGAGTCTAAAGGTGCTGAGTGAGGTCTCAAGGGAAGATCTGGTTACAAACCTGGCTCAGACCTGCTTCACTCTCACAACAGTGAATAAAAATAATCCACACCACGTGCCGCCATTTTGGGACACGTCCAAAACCCTCACACGGACCAGGACCGGACCAGGACCGGACCAGGACCGGACCAGGACCGGACCAGGACCTGCACCAGAGGTGAGAACAAAATCAAAACCAATCCAAGACTAAACCAGGTCTAAAAGTCTAAACGTCTGAGGGGAAAAAGAGTCGTGGGCCAGTTCCAGAGGTTTTATTGAGTCAGTGACATCATCACCACATCCTGTTTAAGCCCCGCCCCCCCAGACCTGTCCAATCACAGGCCAGCATTTGTTCACGTAAACCCATGATTTTTTCTGTACAAAATATTTCCAAAAACAAAGAAAGTTTCAAAATAAGAGCACAACATCCCACTGTACAGTTAGACTCGCCAAAATAAAAGCGCAGTATTTACACGGCTCATTTAAACTCGTTGAAATTCTTGTTAGGAGTTTGGGTTATTGCTGATTCTGTCCAAATGTTTTTACAAATACTTTGAAATACTTTAAATGATAAAGTCAAAG